CTGTCTTTTTTTTTTTTTTGGGTTCCTAGATGGTAAATTTACTGTGGTCTAGCTCAACTCTTCATTTGAGTTGTTTACTAGCTTGGAATAGGAGATTTCATGTCTTAAGTGATTCAAATACTCTCTGATATTAGAAAAAATAATTCCACATACCATTTGACGAGAATCTTGAATTAGAGAAGCTCTTTCACAACTACAGATGATTTTACATTTCTTCAAAAAAAGACAATTAGGGATTCATTGGAATTCTCACATTTATTTGGAAGTTACTTATTTCGGATGGTAAAGCCCCCAGATGGTGCATTTTTTGAAACGAGGTCCTCGGTGACGCTGACATAAGACTCCTTATTCTTATTTCTATTTATTTTAATTTACATAATAAACCTAAACTAGAACTAAACTGAACTAAATGAAGCAAAGTTTATTGTTTTAGCAAAAATGGCTCTCTGGGTTCGTCTCGATTGGTTGAAAGGCTTGAAAGAGAACGTTGTTTTGGGCGGAAGGAGGGGGGATCCGTTGTACCAGATTCAAGGGATTAGTGCATCCTTCAAAACAACATAACAAACATTCCTTTAGAAATGAAAAAAGCATCTATTCGAGGGGGAGATGAGAGGTATTTTACTCCACCACAGAAAATTATTTGATTCTTGTCTTTCGAAAAATTTCCACGATATACCCGAACATTTGGCTGGCTGGCGAGGCAAAATGAACATTTCGTCCCTTTGTGCTTGTGATGAAGGGTTAAAGACATTTACCTCTACTTGAAACATGGAAGCAAAGGTTGAATTTTTCCTGATAAGTAGGTTGAGTCCACTATAGAAGATACAATGTGTGATTGATGATTGTTTCAAGATAAAAGAGCGCAGTCTTGGGGGATCAAAATAATTTGTAGCAGCTGTATGGTAAAGTTTGTTGATAAGTTTTGTAGTATGTTAGCAAGGTACCTATTTTTACTTTACCAAAAATACCCCTAAGAGTACATTAACAATATTCTAATGAGAGGGACGATTATGTCTTTGTACCAAAAATTAAATGTTATCTCTCTCTCCTCTTTTCTCTGGCAGCCGCAGGTCCCTCTTTTTCTTCTTTGTTTTAGTTCTTTCAATCTCTCCCCAAGTTCAACAAAAAAGCTGTAGCACTTTTTCCATTGTCAACAATGGCAATCTAGAAACCATTCTATTAATAATATCTGGAAATTTTGTGTTCCATGACCCAATTCCTCGAGAACGCAATTGCTTCAGGCATTCTGATTCTTACCATTGCCGTCGTTGGACTGAACTCCGGTGCCGTCGGCTTTATTTTCGGACCTGTAGCTAAGCTCATGCCTGAAAACTTTTTAGTCTAATCATTTTCGATCATTCATTGCTTGCAACAATCATTATTGAAATAATGACAAATATATATAATTGGAAATGATCCAACACAATTTAATTGCTATTGTCAAGATTAGTTTAGAATATGATTTCAGCCAAAATAATGATGATAACTGTCCCCAGCAAAGAGATCTATAAAATAAATAAATAAAAGAGTGTAACTAAAGGGAAAAGACGATGGAGATTGTCTGGGTATTGAGTAATGGTGAAACGAGCTCCTAAAAGGCCATAGTTAATGTGTATTGCAGTCTGTTTTTTCACTTAAAAGAGTAAAATGACAACTTTGTTTAGAATTTATTAAAGAGATGGAAGATAAATTAGGGTATTTTTGGTAAAGCAAAAATGGGTATCTTGCTAACATACTTCCTTCATGTAGTATGTTAGCAAGACCCATATATATATATATAGTAATGATTTCAAATGGGAATATTTTGTGTAGTTCTTTTACGGTTTTCTCCATTTGTTCTGTTAGGTTTCTTGATATTTTGAGTCATTCACATGCCATATCTTTTCTTTTAGAACGTTGAGTGTTCCTATAAGCTCATCGCGCAATGTTTTTTGTATTTTCTCCAGACCAAATACCTTATGTTGAATCTGGTACATACGTAGCCTACAACAATGAGAAGGGTGGAGTTATCCGCAGTTTAATCGAAGACGGTTTCGTTGATTTGGACTCCCAAGTCCGTGGTATACCTGAATGGATATCAGCAAAGGCTATGGTTGATTCATGGCTTGCAGATGCCATCATGTATGAACTATGGGTGGGTTCTGATGGAAGTTCTGCATGCAAAATTTATTACTCAGATCTCCCATGGCTACTTGGAAAAATTTTGTACTTAAAGCAAGTTCATGTTGCGAAACAAATTCTTGGTGTTACAAAAGATAATGCTGAAAGAAGAGAGGAAGAGGTAATATGTTTCTACTGGTATCTGTTTTTTCTCTTCTACTATTCTTTTACTAACACTGTGAGACCAAATCCCTGGTGGAATGGGTTTTTGTCTATGTTTTTAATTGTTCTTATGTTTTGAGTTGGGTGAGACGGGGAAGGAGAAGGTGTAGTGCCCATTGAACTTTACACCTATAGTTATAAATTAACAGTGAGCTACCATTTAATCCTCGAAGAAAGGGATCGGATCTATGGATTTTTCTGCTTTAGGAAACTATTGTCTCATAGAACTCCGAGTACTGGAATGAAATAGGCCCAAATGGCGTAATGGAGAAAATTCATATAGCCCACGCAAATTAGTTTGAGGTTGAAGTAGTGTTGTTGTTGTAGACAACTATGCAGTCTCTCGGTTGCTATGGTAAGGGAGTCCAGCCAGTTTGATGAGATTCCATTTTTGCTTAGTTTGTGATCTTTCTTGCAACTTTAATCACATATTGTTCAATGTGGTGGTTGATCAAAAACTTTTGCTGGACAGATTTACAGGAATGCTAATGATGCCTTTAGTGCTTTATCAACTAGATTAGGGGAGCAAGCCTATTTCTTTGATAACAGGTTAGTCATTCAACAATAGTTCAGCTAACTAAGCAAATGAATCATTTTCTTTGCGCCATTATTACTAATCTTTGCAGTTATCTAACAGGCCAACAAGTTTGGATGCAGTTTTCCTCGGGCATGCACTTTTTACACTGTATGCATTACCAGTGAGTATGCTGTGGCTTTATTGAACTGATTTTACTTATTTAGTTTTTATTCAATGGCTTGTACTTCCGAGGACATGGCCCTTGATAGGAAGGTGTGGAGGTCGAGCATTAGAGTGTTAGGTTAGGAGGTAGCTGGTAAGGTTCGTCGGGGGAGGGAGGCTGGTCTGATAAGGTTTTGTCCTAGGCTGCTACCGATTATTGTTGTGTCCTCACTATTCTTTCGTTTTTCATAGTATCGGGCTTTATTCATTTGTTTTGTTATTGTTTTTCATCTATTTTTTGGTTCTTATGCTGTTGTTATTACTCATATGGTTCTGTTGATGGTACTACATATTGTTTCTCTCACTTGTCTCGTCTCTTTTCGTTTTCTTAAGCCGAGGGTCTTTCGGAAACAACCTCTCTACTCTCCGGGGTAGGGGTAAGGTATGCGTACACTCTACCATCCCCAGACCCCACTTGTGGGAACTCACTGGGTTGTTGTTGTTGTTCTTGTCAATGGCTTGTACTGTAATATATGGTAAATTTGGGAAGTAATGGTTTAGTTAATAAAAGCTATAACCAGTGTGTGGAGATGACAATCGGTTTTCTTTCATCTGAAATATCAAGTCAAACAGTCTGTCATTTCAAACTCATCATTGTGCCTGTTCCTTCAGTATTGTGTAAGAAGGGAACAAGACATAGAGATAAGGAAGGATGAGCAATCATAGGGGACAATATTTCCTGTGTGATAAAACTACTTTATTAAGAGAATGGTGTTGTTTTTGGCTGCTTTCCCAGTTTGCTTTGGTTGACAGCTGCTTTGTTTGAAACAAACATGAAATATCTACAAATTAGATGCCTAGGAATTTTTTTAAATAGTTGGAGATGTTTAAACAAATATTTGGAATGTGCTAAAAGTTGGGGAGCGGGTTATAGACATATCATTGTCAATTAATACAAAATAGGTAGGGTTTAAGTTAGTCTAATTTCCTGGATATAGGAGAATCCCCACTCGAATCTCATCGATCTGGGAGAGTTATCATTAAAAGGAGCGGTAAAATAATTTAGGAAAGTTCGTTAATTGTTTGAGATAGAGGTAGTATATCGTTCGAGACTGGCAGCAGACATGTCTGTATCTCATCTCTTTTGAAAGCAGAGCAGGCTGTTGAATTTTGTTTACTTTCTACACCACCCTATGAATTTATAAGAGCAGTATAGAACAGGCGAAATTTCACTTGTGGCACTTTCAGTAATTACCTTTTAATTGTCGATATCTGCTGATAGGAAAATTCAATGCTCCGAAGCAAGCTCTTGGAACATGATAATCTTGTAAGATACACTGAGAAGCATAAACTTGAATTGGTAGATTCTAGTGCATCATCATCTTCTGGCACACAATCCCAGAGTGATCCTTCATCAGTGCCAAGGCGTCCTTCACAATGGAGTGAGTCTTAACTTTCTGATAGTACCCATTATTCTGCTTTATATAGATTTTGGTTGGTTTTTTCATCTCGTCTTAGTAAGGAATGCGCTAAAAAGTAGGTTTTACCTAGAATGAGGGGCATAGTATATTAGTCAATTTCTTTTTATTTAGTTGTTGCTGGTTTTCTCTTTAGTTTTTTGAATTCTTTGTGATAGCACGTTAGTTACATCTTAAATTTATATTACTTTTTCTAAGTTTTTGTTAGTATAAAAATAATTCAAATCTCGAAGGCCTATGTTTCACTTTTTATTGTTGGTCGAACTCCTCACCTTACCTTGCATGTTAAAACCATGATCTTGATGTGTTGTTTGATTTGAGGAAAAGCGCATCTAATACTTATGCAATACTTGGTTTCTGGTATAAAATCCTGCTTTAATAATATAACTTCGATTAGTTGTGTAACTATGAACAAAATGGAGCTTTCGCCGAACAAAAGCACCAAATGCTAGCCCATGAACTTGGCAAAAAAACTTGGCACCAAATCCATACTCCGAATACATTTTTAGATGCCTAAACTTGGCAAAATATTTCATTTAGACGACTAATCTTTAGCTGTGACTTATTGAACACTTCGACTTGTTGGATTGTTGTCTATTAAGTCCCAAGTGCTGGCATGGAGGATTGTGCATTTCACACCTGAATTTTTGCCTGGAAAATGACTTCAGACCCATAAACTGAAATTTTTTGAGTTTCTTTTCAACCTCCTCGTTGACTCAGCTTCCAATTTCTCCTCTGACACTACACCCTCCCAAAAAAAATGGAGAGAGAAAATGTAGTGGGTACAAAATATTGGAGTTTTGATTTTTGGAAAATGGAGAAAAAGCAAGGGTTATTCTCGACACTAAAGATGAGGTGGTGTGTGGGTTATTGGCCGAGAAAAGTTGCCCGCCTATGCTGAGTTTGCGACGGAGGAAGAGGGAAAGCGATAGCAATTTGATTGCACATGCTGAGTTGTTGATCTCAAGATAAGGGTATTTGAGACTATTGGGAGATCTTAATTCGGTAGATGGAGGGTTCTGATTCAGGTGGCGGAGAATGTTAGTAAAATTTTGATAGCAAGACAAATAAGAGACCCTCAAACTCAGTAGAAGAGAAGTGTAAGAAAAGATGATTCTATTTTACAACTTGGCTTGCACTATATTGCTAGAATGAATTTTTATAGGTGATAGATCATGTATGTAATTTAATGTACATGCATCTTCATTTAATTTTGGACTCCTCATATTCCCAAAGTACGTGAATGAACTAAAAATAAATTTCATACACAAATAAAGTTTGATATTTCAACACCCCTCCTTAAACTTGATTCATCACACGAAGAGACATCCATAACTTTTGAAAAATATCAATCTTCGATGGCTTGGTAGTAATATCTGCAGCTTGTTCTTGTGATTCCACGAACTCAAGCTCCATCTCCTTCTTGGAAATGTAATCCCTATTGAAAGGGTATTTCATATTAATATACGTACTTCTTTCATCAAAGAGTTCTTGGCTAATTCAATAATTGCCCTGTTTTCAAAACAAGTTATTGTTGCATCTTGTGGTTGGTGAAGTTCTTCCAAGTTCCAACAAGCTCCTTAGCCATGTTACATGAAAAACACAAAAAAACAGCTACATACTTGCTTCACTTGTTAACAAAGCTCACAATTGCTTCTTGGTATTCCATGTAAATGCAGAATTTCCAAGAGAAAAACAAACCCAATTGTACTTTTCGATCATCGTCACTAGTCCAGTCATTGTAACAATAGCCACCAAGCTTGAATTCCTTGGAAGATGAGTAGAAGATTCCATACTCAAGCATACGAAGTATTCTTTAGCTACCTTCATTAAGAGCTAGTATGAGCTTTAATAAAACGCCTCACAAGTCCGACACCAAATGAATATTCGATCTTGTACAAGTCAAATATCTCAAGCTTCCAACAAGGTTCTTGAAGAATGTGGGATTGGTCTTGTCTCCATCTCCATGCTTGTATAATTTAGCTTCACAGTCGACAAGGGTGCTTATGAGCTTGCAATTCTCTATCTCAATTTTTTTTGAGATTTTCTTTTTCATTTTCTTCTTGAGAAATAAAAATGCCTTCCTATGCAGCAAATTCGACATAAACGAGCCACTTCTCACCGGTCCCTTTGCAAGCCTGTAAGCACCCTCGTGGAATGTGGAGTTAAATTATCCAAGCATGAGGATGGACACAAAATCAACCCCTACATTCTTCAAGAGCCTTGTTGGAAACTTGAGAAATTTGACTTGTAAAAGATTAGATATTCCTTTAGATGTTGGACTTGTGAGTCGTTTTATAGAAGCTTTTACAACCTATCATTTAAAGGTAGCTAATGAGTACTTAGGTATGCCAAAGGTACTCTTGACTATAGAATCATTAGATTCATCTCCAAGAACTTCAAAAGCTTGTTGCTATTGTGATATTGATTGGGCTGGTGATGTTGATGATCTAAAAAGTACTACCATGTTTGTTTGTTTTCTTGAAAATTTCGCATTTAAATGAAATTCCAGAAGCATGCAATTGTGACTTTGTCAACCAGTGAAGCGAAGTATGTACCGGCTTCCTTTTGTGTTTGTATGCAATTTGGCTAAGGAGGCAACAAATTGTTTTGTTGGAATAACAAATTTGCTATTGCATTGGTCAAGAACCCAAAATTTCCTTAAAGGAGTAAGCATATTGATATATTATATCATTAGGGATTGCATATCTAAGAAGGATATGGAGTTTGAGTTCGTGAATTCACAAGGCCAAGTTAAAGATAATTTCACAAAGTCGTTTAAGATTGATATTTTTCAAAGTTGTGTATAGGTGTGACGAATCAAGTTTAAGGGGTTGTTGAAATATTGAATTTTATTGATATATGACATTAATTTTTAGTTCATGGACTAGTTATTCGTTAAATGTTTTAGGAGATGCATGTAATAGTAGATTACTCTAGTCTCCGGAACTAATATGGTGAGTTCAGTCATGTAATTTGGGAATAAGAGATGTGTAAGATTAAATGAAATTCATGTATGTTAGGCTAGATACATGATCAAGATTTCCTATAAATTTCAATGTATTCTAGCATTTTGTGCCAGCCAAGTTGTGAACTAGAATCATCATTTTCTCCGCTTCTTTTCTAGCGAGATTGAGTGTTTCTTAGTTGTCTTTCTCTCCAAATTTTTCTTACAAGCAAGTTTAGAAGAATAAAAATAGCCCGATGCGCTAAGCTTCTGCTATGCGCGGGGTTTGGTGAGGGCGGACCATATTGGGTCTTATGTATGCAACGTTATCTTGTATTTCTGCAAGAGACTGTTTTTGCGGATTGAACACGTGACCTCCTCGTCACATGAAAACAACTTTTATCACTTTGTCAAGGCTCCCTTTGTTGAGAAGAAGAAAAAAAATGAAATAGCCATGTTTTTTTTCTTTTCTTCTTTCTAATGAAACATGCCTTTGATTCATTTGATTTTTTTCTACGTTACCCGCATATAAACTTCATACATTTGAAACATGCCTTTGGTTTTTTTGATTGACGGTTAGTTAAGGATTAATTAGTTACAAGTCCGACAAGTTGAAGTGTTCAATAGGTCACTCCTTTAAATTAGGTGTCAGAATGAAATGTTGTGCCAAGTCTAAATGTCTATCAATGTTTAGCCTTTAACTTACTAGTGTTCAAAGGGTTGAGATAGCTTTTTAATAATTTATTTAACTTAGGGGTCGTCCTGTTTGTTGACAAAATTATATTAGGATTATAATGCTGGTGTTATAATATTGGGATTAATAGTTCCTGGATTATTTAATGCTATTGCTATTGTTTGGTTCATTGAATTAAAACTGGGCTTTAAAATGTTTAATTCAAAACATGTGTTTGGTTTGAAACTAGATAATATTTTTTTTCCTATTTTGACCTTGGATATTCAGCGACTTAGATATAGATGAATCATTTACTACAGATTTGTCTTTTGATAAATAGAGATGGACACATGGCCTACACCAAAAAGAAAAAAAAATCATTTCTTAAGGCCTCACTTTCTATGTTCATCTGTGTTGGTCCCTGTATCCCATCCAGCTATGTCATTCAATCCCTTTATATAAGCAAATTCAAACCTGTGAGAGGACAAACTGTAATGAAACTACATGCATAAACCGTCATTTGTATAATATGTATGCCTAGCACTCTTTTATAGTCTGTCAAGGAAAAGATGAATTGGGGAGAGGGATGCTTTTATAGGTACTCGAAATTGAGAATGTTAACCAATGAGACTGATTATAAATAAAAAACCTTTAAGATTATGAAATAAGGTATTCAAAACTGAGAAGCAAAAATTTCATCATGAAAATAAAGTTATTCTCTATCTGAGAATCCAACAATATGAAATTAGTTGAAGTGTAGGTTCAAAACTCTAAACAACTTCCAAGTTCTAGCTTCTATGTTTCTCTGCAGCATTCTTCTAATCATATATCCATTTTGTGGAAAGAAAAAGAAACGTACTGATGACAATGCGAAAGGAGCTTTTTGAGGGGTGATCTTGTCATTTGGAAAGCTTTATCCAGGTATAAATGATCCTGGTATTATTATGCCACATCTGATGTGGATAAATAATACCAAGATTTTGGTTTAAATTTATTAGTGGTATCAGCTAATACCAATAACCAAACATTGGTAAATTTAACCCAAATTTTATACTAGAACTGGAATCCTAATCCCGGTAACCAAACGGCACCTTAGTGTAGTCATTAACTCCTTCACTTGCTGTGTATTCCAATCAGTGACTGAAGATATATACTTGTGCCCTTTCATAATTCGTATAGTTGTAAATGTGCCTTTGTTTTTTGGTGAAATATAATCGTAAATGTCATTGATGAAACACTTGCCAAAGTTTTGGTATTACATCTGGAAAACTACATGTCAATTCAACTTCGTCATCAGTTGATATTGCATGATCTGCTTATAAGCTGATGGTTTTGTTTCTTTTCTTTCATTCATTCATTTAGGTTCGAAACCCAAAAGCAAACCTAAGAGGGAAAAAACTGAGGAAGAGAAAAAGTTTCGTAGAAGAGCTAAATATTTTCTGGTCACTCAACTGATTGCAGTTTTAGTTTTCCTCTCTCTCCTTGGAGGATCTGGTGATGCTGAAGTGGAGCTTGATGAAGATGACTATGAATGAGCAGTGCGCGTCTTGATTTTCATTTTTGAGTCCAGTTAAGAGTAGTTTAGGCTCTTGATGCACGTTGAGCAACTTCCCTCGTGTTATAGTCTGGAAAATTTTGGAATTCTGCTCGGTGTATAAATCCATGATTTGTGGAATCACTGGAATAAATCTGAGCTTTTTCCTTTCATAAATCCTAGTCTGTCTTGCTCTCTTAAGAAAAATGGGGCAAGGGACAAATATAAGAGATGAAAATCACAGTTGCTCTTTAATTTTTACGATGTGCTATGATTTTTTTCGGACTTAAGTTTGATGGATATTGGAAAATGGTTGAAGGTCTCTTTTGCAGAGCTGTTAGATAGCATCATAGGGTGCAATATTTTGCTTAACAAGTTTTTCCAAGAAGGTTTCTGCAAAACAGTTGTTGCAACTGTTTTTTTTTTGGGAACCCCATGAGCAGCCGCTACAGCCTCTGCCACAACCTCTGCCATTCGGGTGAGCACTCTGTACGCACTGGGTAAACCCCCCACTATGTAATAGCCTGCAAACCACACAGGGATGTAAACCGCACAGTCTCTGGTTGCAACTGTTGTTGAAGAAGTCTTTTAAGGTGTTTTCCAGAGAATAGTTTTATGGATAATTTGAACCAGTAATAGCTGGTCGACTCAATTCATAGTATCCAAAATAAGTTTCTTGAAATTATTTAGATGATATTACTTATGGTTGTTCCCGTGTTTCCACGGCATTAATAAGGCCTTGAAAGGGATGAGACATCTTAAGTTTCCTCATTGCACGAGGAGTTTATTTCGCACTCTAATTTTTCACTTTTAACCTTCCTAGAGAGTTTCAACCATAACTAGTTTTTATATTACAATCATAGTTCTTAACATTTGTTTATATCTCTAGCTTGTATATTTTTTTAGCATTTGTGAACGGCCAGAAGTCATATTTGTCATCTCTGTTTGATATGAACTATCTTGGAACTTGGAGAATATTACATTTCTCCAGCATTTGTGACCGGCCAAAAGTCATATTTGTCATCTGTTTGGAATAAACTATCTTCGAACTTACAGAATATTACCCTATCTCCACATGACAGACAAATTTAACATATGTAATTAAGCCTATTAACCAATAATAATCTACCCATTGTGATCCCACAAGTGAGGTCTGGGAAGAGTGAGATGTATGCAGACTTTACCCCTACTTTGTGCGAGGTAAAGAGGTGGTTTATAATAGACTCTCAGCGTAAGAAAATTGTTTTCAAAACAGGTTTGAAAAATACAAACGTAAAAAAGGTAAGATAAAAATACTGAAGAAAACGAAAGTAATGACAACAAAAATAGTAAAGAAACCTAAAATAAAAGAAGCAACACTAGTATTGAAGAATAAGATAATAATAAAATAATAATAATAATAATAATAATAATACTACTGATAAGGAGAAGAGGAAGCAGATAAGGTGCTCTAACCTAGAATCATACTCTCCCACAGAAAAGAGAGAAATCGCTCGATTACCGATTAACCTCCCTAATGTTTGACGTCTATGCTCTTCTATCTAGAGTCATTTTCGGTGAGCTGAAGATGTGCCATGTCTTGTCTAATTATCTCTCCCTAATTTTTCCTCAGTCTACCTCTACCGTTCCTTAGACGTATCACTGCCAACCTCTCGCACCTCCTCATTATGGTATCTGTGCTTCTCCTCTTCACATGCCCCAATTATCTCAGCCTTGCTTCCCGTATCTTGTCCACCATGGAGGTCCCTCCCACCTTGCCTCGTATATCATTGTTCCTAATCTTATCTCTCCTAGTATTTCCACACATCCATCTAACCATAATCATTTTCGTGACTTTCATCTTCTGAACGTGTGAGTTCTTGACTAGCCAACACTCTGCCCCTTATAGAATAGTTAGTCCAACCACCACTTTATAGATCTTTACTTTAAGTCTTTGTGGCACATTCTTATCCAGATGCGAGTCTCCATTTCATCCATCTCTCTCCAATATGATGTGTGATATTTTTATCGATCTCCCCATTTTACTAAATTATTGACCCAAGATACTTGAAACTTCCTCTCTTACAGTTGACTTGTGTATCAATACTCATTTCTACATTTGCCTCATATGACGTGTCACTTAACTTGCACTGCATGTACTTTGTTTTAGTCCTGCTCAACTTGAAACCTTTAGACTCAAATGTCTGTCTCCAACCTCCAGTCTATTGTTAACTCCACCACGTGTTTCGTCAATCAATACTATGTAATTAAGCCTATGAATACTCAAATTTAAACCGATACTTTTAACCAAAATATGAAAACTTTCCATAAAAAATGTTAAAATAGTTGGGTAACTCCTTTTTAAAGTTGTGGTTATTTGAATCCAGTTTAGAACTATATATTCTTTTTCTTTGACATTTCTATAGTAGAATTTTGCTTGTCATTGATTCCCATGTCTGAACTTGCTTAAATTGCCTGTCTCAGACCCTAAAGGATGAGAACGGTAATAGGTTACGACTAACGTAAAACTAGCCAATTTATGCAAAGAGAGAGATTACATAGGTAGAATGAGCAAGTGGCACAATGAAGGATTAAACTAAAGAATAATGCTTGAGATGGTTTGGTCATGTCCTATATCGATCTCCGAATGCCCCATTCTATGTGACGACCCGATCGATCATTTTGTGTAATTGTGCCCTGTTTACCCTTGATACTTCACACATGTGTGTTTATGGTTTTATGACCTTCGGGGTTGGTTGGTTTCATTCTGGCAAGATTTCGGGTTGATTTAAACCCTTTGGTTTTTGATTTAGAAGCTTAAATTAGAAATGTTGACCAAACTTTAATTTTTGTGAAAATGATCCCGGAACGGTATTTTGATAGCCCCGATAGCTTCGTATCGTGATTTTGGAGGAATCGAATTCGAAAGTCCGTAGGTTGATTTGTGTTGTTTTGCCGAAAATTCGCAATTTGAGGTTTAGAAATTTGACCGTAGGTTAAATTTTGGCTATCAGGTCCGTAATTTAGTTTTGGGACTTGGAATAAGTCTGTTATACTATTTAGAACTTGTGTGCAAAATTTGGTATCATTTGGAGTTGAATTGATAGAATTCAGACGTTTAGTTGCAATTCTAGAAGTTCTTGAAATTTATTTTGAAATTCATGCATTTTGGTATCCGATTTGTAGTTCTAGATGTTATTTTTGTATTTTGATAGCGCGAGCGAGTTCGTATGGTTTTGTGTGAATGTTTGGTTTGGAGCCCCGAGGGCTCTAATGAGTTTTGGGCATATTTCAAAAGGTTTTTCACTGAAAACAAAAAATCTAGTGTGCTGGTGCTCTGATATCGTAATTGCAAGCACCAACTTCGCAATTGAGAACATGGTCGGGGAGGGACAGGTATCGCAAATGCGATACCTAATCCACATTTGCGAAATAATGGTCTGGGTAAGAAATTTCGCATTTACGATGAAACTATCGCATTTGCAAAGGGAACAATGTTTGCATTTGCGAACCCAATATCGTATTTGCGAGGTTGCCCTTGAGTCTGTCAGTGCCGCAATTGCGAGAATTGCTTCTCAATTGCGAGGATTCAGAATATAGTTGCGAACCCTGTGTCGCAATTGCGACATCTGCAGCTGAACAAAAGGTTAGAAAATCGGGATTTAGTCTCATTTTAAAACCCTAGATTTAGTAGGAGGCGATTTAGAGAGGGGATTTTCATCTACAACTATTGGGTAAGTGATTCTAATTAATTTCCAACTATATTTCATTATAGCTTAGATTTAACATCAAATTTATGTGAAACAAAGAGGAAAAATTGAGAAATTTTGTCAAGTTTTTAAAAAAAATGAGAAATTGAGTTTTGAGAGCCGATTTGAACTCAAATTTTGAAACTAATCATATATATAGACGCGTGAGGTTATGGGTAGTCGGAATCTACCTTTGGACTCGGGTTTTGATCGGGCAGGCCTCGGGTTTGACTTTTGTTGATTTTGGGAAAAGTATAAAGATCATAACTTTATCTATTGTAATTGTTTTCTCTTGCATTATTTGATGATATTAAGTCAATTTTGGTTAGATTTGAGCTGTGTGGAAGCGAATTTTAGGGAAAAAGCTATTTTTGAGGGTTGAGTTGGCCTAGTTGAGGTATGTATCTTTCCTAACCTTATGTGGGGGAACTACCCCTTCGGATTTGGGATTGATTGTGCTATTTGTGTTATGTGAAAGTCGTGTACGCAAAGTGACGAGTGGGTGCACAGATTATATGTGGTATTTGACCGATTTAGATTATTTAGACTCTTTTCATGCCTCTAATTGAATTTCCTTAACATATTATAGTTCCCATTGTTAATCTACTCTTACATGCTTTAATTATCATTGTTAACACTTGTGCTATCTCCTATTTGTTATTTTGCTCTTACATATTTTATTTAAAATTATTGTTTTTCTTATACTCTTGTTATCTCTTAAATTGTTGAATTACCTTTCCTTGTAAATTATTATTTCGTGGAGTATTTTCTTGTTGGGTTATTGGTGTTGAGATTGTAAAAGCCTATATCACATTGAGGTGAAATTGTTAATTGTTGAGTTATCTTTCTTGTTGAGCAAATCACATTCATTTTGTTATTGTTGAGATTCTTGTACACATTGTGGTTGAGCCATAAGCTATTGTTGTGAAAACATTGATATTGCTGATTTTTGACAAGTTGTGCCATATGGACACTTGTGGTGCGAGTTGTTATTGTGTTATGATATTGATGTGCATGCGGCGGTATTAAGATATGGGTTAATGGGCATGCGACAGTATAAGGTGAGATTTATGTACATGTTGCTAGTTGGGGAATTACTTGAAGCCACACGACGTCATAAGGTAGGCTAAAATGCGTGTAGCTATTTCGGAAAAAATATTTTCAAAACTATCTAAATGTAAGGCTCACGCGGCGGTATAAGGAAAGATTGTGATTGAAATTGAAAAATGTGAATATGAAGCGATACCTCGATCGTGATTCTTGTTGTATACGGGGCGGTACCTCAGTTATGATTCTTGTTGTGCATTTCATGTTGAAAAAGAGTTATTGTTTGAACCTTTTTTGTTACTTTTATTTTTCCTTGTCTTACCAGTTTTGTTCGTATTTGACTATTTGTGATTCTCATTATTGGCTTCCTTTTCATTGTCTTATGCTTACAATTCTGTTAGTAGTTTATGTTATTAAATTGCTTTGTTATCAATCATTTCTCTGTTTTCCATTACCTCCCGTTATGATATATTATTTTGTTATGTTTATCATATCCTAGTATGTTTCTTGACCTGGCCTCGTCACTACTCTGCCAATGTTAGATTTGATACTTATTGG